ATATCCATAACTAATTTGTTCAAATTCATTGAGAATAGTCCATACCATTACTATAACGATAACAACACAGAGAATATAATTGGAATCACATTCAGAACTGTTTTTTTTTTCCAGATGATGAGACATAAAAACATTGACAGCCAATCAGAATCCACCCAACTTTAAAAAGCTTGAGAATTTAAAGCGGCACACAACATAACTGCAGTGTGCGCTGTGTTATAACACCTACTAAGGCCACCAATATAATTAGCAATAACCAGATCACATACTTTAGTCTGCTTTATTCCAAGTCCATGACCTCAGTGGAACCTTGTAATATCCGCACCCAGTAACAGGGCATTATTAGGTGTAAAACATATTTACTTTGAAGTGGAAACTATAAGTTAACAACATCTAAAAATATACACCTTTCTATATATCAGTGTCCTCCAAACATAGAATGACACCCTGCCCTCATAACAAACCACTCGTGCCAAAATTATTTTGGGAGATGGCTCTCAAACAAAAGGGTAATTTAAACTTGTTACAGCAATTCTGTTATTACTTTGTTCCTATCTTATTGCCAGGGGGTTTACCCCACAATATAAAGTGCAGTATCATTACCCTTTTAGGACTTCTCGCGTCACCTCATAAAGTCTGCACAGTGTCCAATAGCCATTCTCAGACAATTAATCCATTCACGCAAACAGTCTGTGGCCTTTTAGTAAGACATTCCCCCTTTTTAATGTGCATTTGGAGTATTGCTACCCAAGCCAGAAGCTAATCAAAATACATGTGAGGGTTGAGTTTTAATAAAAGAGCTACGTAAAAGCTGCAGCGGAGTGGTTACTGCACATGGTTCTTATACGGGAATCATTTTTCGGTCTCTGCTGTCTGTAAATAAAACCCTCCAAAAAAGTTAGAAACAAAAACATGCCAAAACGTATCTGGCATTATGCTTTCTGAAAGTTTTTCCCATGTTTATCTGAAAAGGAAAGGTAACTCATTTTGGCATGTTATGTAAGCCTTTTGACAAAGCGCTATAGTGCTAACCCACATACTCATATGTATTAGGGCGAGTGCGAAAACACTGTGATGGCTTTATTGCAGTATACGAGGTTGGTAACAAGTAGGGATTTGTTTGAAATCAGAGGCATTTCATTAAAGAAGGCAGTGTGCCCGGGCAGTGGTCTCGAAATTGCGTTCCACATCCCATCGTGTTTTAATGAATGCAAATGAGAGCTCCAAAGTGGTTTTGTCTGTGTGTTTATCCTGAGTCGGACTCTGCAAAAATGTGGAAGTAGTTTTGTGCATCTGGCACAAGTCTTGGCTGAGGTGTGCTCGAGTAGAAGATGGTGAGCTCTGTCTGATTAGGTTGAGAAGAAGATTAGGAGACAATGACTGTTTCATTGACTCTGAAGTGGGATGCATCTGTGCTCCATTACTCTAAACTGAACTGCTTCATTGTCACTGCATAATAATGAAACCCCAGCCAGATTGGTGTGCGTTTAAAATTATCTGGTTTGCTTTTCCTTCTCTTTGAACTGTTTTATCCAGAAAGTTGATCTTAAGCGTTGGCTTTAATGTAGAATACACTAATATCCCGGAGAAGAGTAGTTTTCTAATTTGAATTAGTCCTTGTTTTCTATTAATAGAATACAAATATTAGTAATTAAGTCTTGTTTTTAAAAGCATCTGGGGTATGTTATATTTTTCTCTTTTTTCTAGCTTATTTAAAACTAGTATTGAAAACAAGTCTTACATTAATGTTTTTAAGTTGCTTCTTGAACATATGTTTACATATTTTAACTGGAAAATGAGATTTTTCCTGCTGTGTAAAGGGAATTAAAATGACGGTAACTCAAGAATCGAGTGCTAAATTTTATCAATTTAAATTGGCAGCGACAGCACAACGACAAAGGACACTAATGTATGTACACTTGCTATTATTATTGTATAAACAATTTTTAAACATTCAGTTAGCGGTCAGGTAGCGGCCACTCACGGAAAACCCTCTTTTTCATACATCAAAGCAACAGAGATCGATGTACCGGGCAGCTGAACTTCAGAGCAAAGTGAAACATCTGGAGAATAAATCGTTTGAATGGAACAGATTAGAGAGTGGCAATATTTACTTTGGAGCGTTGAAAATGGCTTCATCGTGCCCTGGATGAAACTGGCACGGACGTGCGAGCTTGCAGCTCATTACCGGATGACTGAGCGACATCTGGTTATTTAAAACCGAACTTTAGTCCTAAAGGTTTTTAAAAGCCTTGACTTAGAGCTCGGCAACGTCAGGCGCTATTTTCCGTGCCGGCTGTCTACGCGTGTTGGGAAACAGGTAATAAATTCCATGGAGAGTTTGAGGTGGACCGGAGACGAGATGGAGTGACAGTGAATGTAATGAAGGTGGATGAAACGGTGCTGCTCCACATTTCAGAGTTGGTGGGCAGTTTTCCAGTATTCACCACAGTCAGTCATTCAAATAATGAATTCCTACACAGTCATAGTTTACTTTTCCAATACGAAGACTTTTGGTAAGCATCAGAAATACTTAAGTTTAAAATAATGGTGCTTTGTGACACACTCACTATTTTAAATAAGACTTTTGAAAGGAAATTTCATCAATGACAATATGATAAGGTGCCATTTCCACTTCTGTTTTCATGTCCAACCACTATACTGCAGTTGTTTACTGCAATAAATAACAGCTGGAGCAGATGTTAAAATTCACATTCATCACCTTCTTCTTATTGAATTTACATAATTAGTAAAAAACCTTCCTTTCAAAGTGTCATTTAACAGCAGTGAGGCAAACAGAAGCAGTTCTGTAAGCAAAAGCAGTGATTTTTACTAAACATCACTCCAGCCATGTAAGTTGATAAAGCTGTCACAAACAAACAAGCTCTCACTGTTTTTCTTTTCTTTTCTAAGTCTTACGTGCTGACAGCTGAATCCAAACTGTTACATAACGAATAACATCCTTACATGTTCTAATTAAGACAATTATGAGATAATTGAAATTACGTTACCTTGTGCCAGAGACACAACAAAGACGGTAGACAGCACCAACGTCACGACTGTGAAGTCCCACATAGTGCCACAGCCACTGATGGGCAGCTGTTGGTAACAAATAATAAATTAAAGACAGACACCAAAAAAAGTTTGTCAAGTTCTTGAGTGGCTTGACCAATGAATTTGTTTCCCTCGTCCTTCAAAATCAAGTCTGATCGTTTCGTGAACTTCCCAGAGTTTTAAAAGACAGGATGGAGTGGAGAGTGGTCCAGGCCAGCCCCCTCCTGCTTACCATTGGCTATTGCGCTAACATCTGTGTTCTTATATCATTCCAACAGACAAAAAAGAACACACCGATGTAAGAGAAAGGTGAATGTTGCATCAGAAAAATGTAATGTTTGTGTTTTTAATCAAGATATGCTGGATTACCAGAGATCTGGGTGTTTGGGCAGGACAATAAATCACATTTTGTGTTTCATATGCTCTGGTCCAGCACGTTACATCATTTCAGCCACAAATGAAGATGTAAATGTGATGACAGCAGATGAATTTAATTTTTAAAAATCTGTTTATTTCACAATGGATTTTTCTTATTTTACTCACATGCAACTATGTTGGGCATTGCAGGAATGTTCGTCCAACATTCAGAGACTCAACAGACAGTAAAATGACTCTACTGTGACGCACCTGTTGCGTACAAAGGGATTTGTAAACAGTCAAAAGGTTTCAAATTTGGTACTGATCCATAATAACTATTTCACATTGTTCGAAGGTGAAGTGTGTCTTTTTTTTTTTCTTTAAAGGAACAGTTCTTCCAAAACTAAAAATGTACTCACCCTCAGGCCATCCAAAATATAGATTCGTTTATTTCATCAGAACAGATATGAAGAAATTTAGAATTACATCACTTGCTCATCAATGGATCCTCTGCAGTGAATGGGTGCCGTCAGAATGAGAGTCCAAACAGCTGATAAAAACATCACAAAAATCAACACAACTCCAGTCCATCAAGTGTGAAACGAAAAGCTGCATGTAATAAAGTCCTCTATCAATAATATTGCTTTCTCTAGTGAAAAAGTCATCTCATCTGAATCAGGAGAGAAATATGCACAGATCAAGCACCGTTTACAATTGAAAAACGGTCCAAAACTGTTGATTCCAAAACAGAATGCTGTTCATATTTTTGCCAGAAGCGACAGTTTGAAGTGATGGATTTGTTTCTTACAAACAAGCGAATTTTCGCTTAAGGCATTAATTGATGGTCTGGAGTCATGTTGATTACTTGTGGATTATTGTGGTTTTTATCAGCTGTTTGGACTCTCCATGGAGCACATTTTCCAAGGTTCGGCTAAATAATAACATCCGTGGGTTTTCAACATCCAATGTTTCTTCAAACACCCAACTTTCACATCTAAATGAATAAACTCGTTTTTTACATAGATAATTTATTCATTCGACCTATAAGAACTAAGAAAACACACGTACATTGAGCAATGTATAGTAAAAACAAAATGATTTACATATATGTTTGTCATCCTGGGATTATTTTATAGTGTACAACCTTTCCAAAAAAGTACAGATGAATAAATTTGTAATTGGCGTAAAAGTCCAGCAGAAAAGCATTGGGTTTGTAGGTGTCGTGCACATTAAACTGGAGGCACTATCAGGGTAATGCACTTTGAATTTATCTAACATTAAAAAGACTAATGTATTTTTAAAAAAATGCGATTTTGAGAACTCAACAGTTAGACAAAAATTTGCTAAATTTAATAAATAATTCTAAACCCATCTCTTAGGACTGAAAGCTTGTTTCCATCACAAGATAAAAAAAAAATAAAGGTAATTGTGACTTTTGATCTCACAATTCAGACTTTTTTTCTAGTAATTCTGAGAAAAAAGTGAGAATTATGAGATATAAAAATAGAATTGTGTTTATAAGTCGCAATTGTGAGATATAAAGTCACAATTCTGAGAAGAAAAGTCACAATTCACAAATGTGAGTCCGAGTCAGAATTGCGTGATGTAAACTCTGAAGTGCTAGAAATGTTTTTTTCCCCTCTGAATTCTGAGTTATACTGCTGGATTGTGAGGTATATACTCAGAATTTCAAGAAAAAATGTCAGAATTGTGAGATTCATTTGCAATTACATTTTGTATTTTTTCATCCCGTAACAGAAACGAGCTTCCATAGAAAACTCACCTTAACTATCCAAAGTATCTAGTCATATTTGTCAGTAACTGAATGCCACAGAACAATCTAAAAAATACGAAAAGGGGGAAAAACATCCTTGTTATTCAAAATACAGGTCTGTATAAATGGCTACAGTTCTATAACACATTCCGTGCCGGGGAATTCTGGCAGATTAAGTTCAAATTTTTTCTGAATGTCATAGGGCAGGAATCGTCCTGCCAGAAAGTGGTTTCCCGAGAAACCTGTTGCGCACTTTTTGGGAGCTGTCAGAGAAATGAGAACTTCTGGATTTATCCCATCTTTGGCGGGTTCGTCAACATCCCAACCTTCAGGAAAGAGAGACAGGAAAGAGAGACAGGAAAAGTGAATCCTTTGTCACCATCACAAGCCACTGGATATTAACTGAAACATAGTAATGTTGCTATATTCTTCCAGATAAGCTGTGGAAAACTGGCTCATGGAGATCATTCATCACACTACTGTCATGAGGAACGATAGCACAAAAATTACAATGTGTCAGCCATCAGATGCAATTTTGAAATACGGTCTCCCGATGACATAATGCCTGTGAGTTTTCTTTGGTTTGATAATTTGTCTGTTTTGAAAACACTTCAGGTCCAGTGCAACACATTTGCACATTAAGGTCTCTGGTCAGCTCATTTATCAGAAAAATTGGCTGCAAAAATCAGATTTCATCAGTCGAAATTCCTTGGAGGTGTTAGTAACCCATTTCGCAAACGTACAAAAATGTATGAACAAGTATATACCTATATATATAACTTATATAACTATATAAACTTAATATATTATATAAGTTTACCTAGTATTCAGTTTGACTTCTATGACATTACATTTACATATACATTTACATTTAGACATTTAGCAGACGGTTTTATCCAAAGCGACTTACAAATGAGGACAATGGAAGCAATCAAAATCAACAAAAGAGCAATGATATGCAAGTGCTATAACAAGTCTCAGTTAGCTTAATTACATTATGTAGCTATTAGCAAGGGTAGCTAGTTGCTATTAGCCTTGAACGTGTTAGTAATCTATTTCTCAATCATATGACTACTATTTTGCATACTTACAAAAATATATCAACAATCTTTTACTTTTGAAAGTTTATCTAATATTCAGTTTGACTTATTCTACATAATTAAGTAGCTAGGAGCTACTAGCAAGGGTAGCTATAGCTATTAGCCTTGAACATGTTAGTAATCTATTTCTCAATAATATTGTGACTATTTTACATACTTGTACAAATGTATCAACAAGTTTTATCCATTATTTGATTTACCATTTACAGTATTTATTAACTAGCAGCTATTAGCGAGCACAGCTTATAGCTACTAGCTAATTTCTGTGCCACTACCGTGACCATTGCAAACTGCAAAATAATGAAACAGGTTTTCTGAACACTCAAACAACAAAATTTAGTAAGTAATCATGTAAAAATGAAAATTTTTTAGGATGCTAGGAACAAATGTAGCCGACTTTACAGTGCATATGCTTAGCTGTCAAGAGTTACACAAATGATGTTCAGTGTGTAAAAATAGACACTTCAGATTTGATTTGGTTGTTCTGTTAGCAGTTTTCTTGAGTGCGCTGATGAATGCTAATGAGCATTTTTATGTCTTGATAAGCGGAGTATGACAAAAATAATCAAAACCTCTGAACAGATTGAGACCTTTTCCATGAAACATGTTTTCTTTTCCTAGCAAGTAGCTACTGTATTTACTCAATGTAACATCTTTTTTTTTCGTTGTGGCACTGCACACTAAAGATGCCATGGGCAGAATTTCTCTAAAACATCAGGTTGTGTGTTTAATGAGCAAATACCTGAGGGCATGTCCACACTAACGATGGGTATTTTGGCCTGTCTGAGAGTCACCAGCATCCCAGCGTAGGGCTCTTTAACCTCCTTGTGCTCGGTTTCTGGTCCCAGGATGGCGTCGATCACCAGATTGTAGGCATCATTTAACAGCTGGACCTGGTCGTGGGGTCAGATGGGACTCGATTAGGATTGACAGATGTCCAGAACAGTGAACATCACATTGACATCTCTCTGCTGGTGGGCTGAGCTTCATTATTCAAGACTGACACCTACCTCCGTCGGAAGATAGGACAGGAAAGGGATGTCCATTTTCTCACACTGAACAGTGAAGGCCTGGTGCAAACTCTGAGGAGAACGCTTGGGATAGAAAATGGTGGGCTCATATTCCTACATTAAAGAGAGATGAGGTAGATGATTAACGCATTGCCAATTTTTACCATGTCTCCGTTTATTTTTCTTCCAGTTTGAGATTTTCGGTCTTAAATTATGAAAATCCTTTATGAAAATATGAAATATTACATGTTGAAAACTATGAACAGTGTGAAATAAACCATTTAAAATTTATTGTGTGTACTTTTATGTATTTGTTTTAAAAATACGTCCTTTATTGTGAAAAACAGATATGAAAATGTGTTGCATGATTGCCATACATGAACCAGACAGTTCATGCTTAGTGTCCACAAAAGCTTTCTGTTTTTAAAGCAGTATTTTGTCCCCCTGTGGATATGCAGGGGGATTTTTGAGTTTATAAATCACATAACATAATTACCTCATAATTTAATTTCAGAAGAACATTAGAAGTGATTAAAGTGGACTAAAATTTATGGTTCTGAACATCTCGCTTGCTCGGGATACAGTCTGGATAAGTTGCCGGTTAAGTTCATTACAATCCTGCAGTTAAACTTAATGTATTTCTTACATAACGTTGGTACGGACACAAGAATCCATGCAGATGTACAGCGGGAATGTATAAAACAGCTGTCATCATGTGATGACCCTCTATTGTTCGTTTTTTTATTCGTTCCAAGAATCTCATATTGTAAACTGGCCAAATCTGGACTGGCCAAACTTCACTCCATCAGAACGAAAAGAAGGATAACTTTAACAGAGTGTACGTTTATTAATAAGACGAATACTGATGCTCCATAAATCTAGCATCACAGAGGAGCATGGTGGATCATATTTTCTTATTGTTTTCTTTTTTTAATGATAAAATCAGGAAATGGAAATGTTCATAAGTTCATAAATAAATAAAAAGGTAATTGCGACTTTTTGTCTCACAATTCAGATTTACATAATTTTATTTCGTGGTGGAATAACAAATGAGATGCAATGTTTCTTTCAATAAAGATAAACAAAGTCAACATAAAAAGCATTCCCACACCCATTTTACTTTTGTAATGTGCCGTATTTCTGACTGAAACAGTATGGGCTGGGCAAGTATAGGAAAAATCCTTAACATTGAGCCCTGAACGTGCAATGAACCATACACAATAATACCAGGAAAGTGCATTAAGAAAGTAAATTGGCTCAATTATGATTTCATGTTGACTTTAAACAACAATACAGCACCCCATCAGTATCCATTCTTTCGCCGTGTCCTGCGGCACAGTGCTCTATACTTACAAACATGCGCAGATGGCGGGCACACACCAGACCAATGGAGCCATTCTGTTCAGGACCACAAACAACCAGCAGGGTGGGCTGCTTTTTACTCAGGGAGCTCAAAGGAAAAGCCTGGAAAGAGACAGAGGGAGAGAGAGACAGTTAAATAGGGAGGGAGATGTCTCATTTCGGTCCTATATGCATTTGGAGAGGTAATGTTCATTGCAATAACCCAGCAACAGTTGCAACAATAGTAAAGAGCCGTGGAGACATTGCCACAGGATGCAGCCTTAAAATAACACACTTTCTGACAGGATTCTAAACTGGACCAGCACTGTTCAGATTTTCCGAAGCGTGTACACACTCACAAAATTAAGTCTTTAAAGGTGAGGCGTGTGATTTCAGTTACTAAACAGAATTTAATTGTTTTCAAATAGGTTTCCATCTGCTATTGGCCAGCCAAACAGATAGCCATGCCCCAAATGCACGCCATTGGTTAAGCTGTTGCTATGCCTGGCTGGTTTTGAAATATAAACAAACAGCAATGCTTTGATAGAACCACAGAGCAAGTTACACTCTTTAAGGAAATCAAACCACAAATGTTTTACTTATAGTCGTCTATACTTGATGAGTATCTTACCATAAAGATGATGTTTTGAACAGACTAATGAGTAAAAACAACAGTTAAGGTAATGTACATGTTATATTCATCTCCAATTAACCGGCGCTGAAATATGGATCGCGGCACAACCGTGGGCGTAATTGCAGACTTCTGAGAAAGAGAGGAAGCCAGACGCTAATGAAGCTAATGGCACTTTAGAGAGAAATTATCAGCTGACATGGATATTCCATTAGCGAGCTGATGAAGTTTAGATTACTTTATCATCGCTGGTCGTCTTAGTCACAATGCCAGTTGAACGCGTGTCTGAGTGTGGAAAATTAACGTCTGTCTCCATCTGTTGTCATTTTAAGGGGAATATAAGTAGGAAATGTTCCTATTGGCCAAAAGTGAGCTTGTCAACGAAGTTGATTATAATGGGCAGTATCTGGGATTAACTAACTCAAAGTAGCAAAGCTGTTAACTATTTTCAGTGGTGTGACTATAGTTAAGCTGTTTTTTAAAATTTCTTAAAATTGGATTTTGAAAAGCAGTGACAGGAGGGGAGGAGCTAAAACTAAGATGGCTTGATGATGTCATCAGAAAGAAAACTCGTTTCAGAGGCGGGGCAAGCCATTACATTTTGATGAATTATTACAAAGTCTAACTTTTTTGTGCAATGAATCAAACACTGTACCAGGAAAGTAAATAGGCTCGATTAAGATATCATTTTGACTTTTCAAAATATTCCAACGTAAACAATTCTCTGATTTGCACAACCCTGCACAGATGTCCTTGTGTATTTTAGTATTTTAACAAAATATTCTGTGAAATACGTTATTCGGCCACTTAAGTTTCAAAGTTGCTTACGCGACACTACTAATATTTGTCCTGTAGTTTTATTGCACTGTTTGCTAGCAGCATCGACATGGTTTTAGCTACATAAGGCGTCTCAATACGCTCCCTAGTTAAAGTAGTCCACTGCTCAGGAAACCCTTTCTATGGCTGTCCCATTGTCAAAATCAAGTGCACTACAATATTCACTACCAAGAAATTCTCAAAATGCACAATAAAACCAGTCAGCTAGTGATAATGATAAACAAATTACTTCAGAAAGATATCGCTCATGGTGTTATTTAGCAGTATTCATGATAAATACCAGTTCCTGGTAATTGTGTTGCTGGTTATTAGTTTCTCAACATTTCACAGATTGAGTCCCTTGCTAGTGCTCAAAATCGTATTCACGGTTAACTGAATTATGTCCAGAATAATTCCTGAAAGTTCAGCCTTGAGATATGGATGATCAATTTACATGAAGCTCGTGCGATTATGTGTTGTATGAAATAATATCCATTCTCTTTGTCTCTGTTCCGTCTGTTTCTTCTGCTCTGGAAAATGACATGGAATGGAGTGTTCCTGGGAGCTGTAGCCACTAGCCAGTGGATGCATTGTTCATTTCTTTTGCAGGTCTGCTGCAGCTGTGCTGGAATCCTCCGTTGTGTCAACTCCTGCCAGGACTCTGGAGACCGCCGCTCTGATCTGCTCCTGTTCGGAGCCACTGAACCCCTAGATTTCACTTCCATGCTTCCAGCAAATGAGCTCTCTGTCAGACGGGATTCGATTAGGATTGACAGATGTCCAGAAGAGTGAACATCACATTGACATCTCTCTGCTGGTGGGCTGAGCTTCATTATTCAAGACTGACACCTACCTCCGTCGGAAGATAGGACAGGAAAGGGATGTCCATTTTCTCACACTGAACAGTGAAGTCCTGGTGCAAACTCTGAGGAGAACGCTTGGGATAGAAAATGGTGGGCTCATATTCCTACATTAAAGAGAGATGAGGTAGATGATTAACGCATTGCCAATTTTTACCATGTCTCCGTTTATTTTTCTTCCAGTTTGAGATTTTCGGTCTTAAATTATGAAAATCCTTTATGAAAATATGAAATATTACATGTTGAAACTATGAACAGTGTGAAATAAACCATTTAAAATTTATTGTGTGTACTTTTATGTATTCGTTTTAAAAATACGTCCTTTATTGTGAAAAACAGATATGAAAATGTGTTGCATGATTGCCATACATGAACCAGACAGTTCATGCTTAGTGTCCACAAAAGCTTTCTGTTTTTAAAGCAGTATTTTGTCCCCCTGTGGATATGCAGGGGGATTTTTGAGTTTATAAATCACATAACATAATTACCTCATAATTTAATTTCAGAAGAACATTAGAAGTGATTAAAGTGGACTAAAATTTATGGTTCTGAACATCTCGCTTGCTCGGGATACAGTCTAATATTACATGTTGAAAACTATGAACAGTGTGAAATAAACCATTTAAAATTTATTGTGTGTACTTTTATGTATTTGTTTTAAAAATACGTCCTTTATTGTGAAAAACAGATATGAAAATGTGTTGCATGATTGCCATACATGAACCAGACAGTTCATGCTTAGTGTCCACAAAAGCTTTCTGTTTTTAAAGCAGTATTTTGTCCCCCTGTGGATATGCAGGGGGATTTTTGAGTTTATAAATCACATAACATAATTACCTCATAATTTAATTTCAGAAGAACATTAGAAGTGATTAAAGTGGACTAAAATTTATGGTTCTGAACATCTCGCTTGCTCGGGATACAGTCTGGATAAGTTGCCGGTTAAGTTCATTACAATCCTGCAGTTAAACTTAATGTATTTCTTACATAACGTTGGTACGGACACAAGAATCCATGCAGATGTACAGCGGGAATGTATAAAACAGCTGTCATCATGTGATGACCCTCTATTGTTCGTTTTTTTATTCGTTCCAAGAATCTCATATTGTAAACTGGCCAAATCTGGACTGGCCAAACTTCACTCCATCAGAACGAAAAGAAGGATAACTTTAACAGAGTGTACGTTTATTAATAAGACGAATACTGATGCTCCATAAATCTAGCATCACAGAGGAGCATGGTGGATCATATTTTCTTATTGTTTTCTTTTTTTAATGATAAAATCAGGAAATGGAAATGTTCATAAGTTCATAAATAAATAAAAAGGTAATTGCGACTTTTTGTCTCACAATTCAGATTTACATAATTTTATTCCGTGGTGGAATAACAAATGAGATGCAATGTTTCTTTCAATAAAGATAAACAAAGTCAACATAAAAAGCATTCCCACACCCATTTTACTTTTGTAATGTGCCGTATTTCTGACTGAAACAGTATGGGCTGGGCAAGTATAGGAAAAATCCTTAACATTGAGCCCTGAACGTGCAATGAACCATACACAATAATACCAGGAAAGTGCATTAAGAAAGTAAATTGGCTCAATTATGATTTCATGTTGACTTTAAACAACAATACAGCACCCCATCAGTATCCATTCTTTCGCCGTGTCCTGCGGCACAGTGCTCTATACTTACAAACATGCGCAGATGGCGGGCACACACCAGACCAATGGAGCCATTCTGTTCAGGACCACAAACAACCAGCAGGGTGGGCTGCTTTTTACTCAGGGAGCTCAAAGGAAAAGCCTGGAAAGAGACAGAGGGAGAGAGAGACAGTTAAATAGGGAGGGAGACGTCTCATTTCGGTCCTATATGCATTTGGAGAGGTAATGTTCATTGCAATAACCCAGCAACAGTTGCAACAATAGTAAAGAGCCGTGGAGACATTGCCACAGGATGCAGCCTTAAAATAACACACTTTCTGACAGGATTCTAAACTGGACCAGCACTGTTCAGATTTTCCGAAGCGTGTACACACTCACAAAATTAAGTCTTTAAAGGTGAGGCGTGTGATTTCAGTTACTAAACAGAATTTAATTGTTTTCAAATAGGTTTCCATCTGCTATTGGCCAGCCAAACAGATAGCCATGCCCCAAATGCACGCCATTGGTTAAGCTGTTGCTATGCCTGGCTGGTTTTGAAATATAAACAAACAGCAATGCTTTGATAGAACCACAGAGCAAGTTACACTCTTTAAGGAAATCAAACCACAAATGTTTTACTTATAGTCGTCTATACTTGATGAGTATCTTACCATAAAGATGATGTTTTGAACAGACTAATGAGTAAAAACAACAGTTAAGGTAATGTACATGTTATATTCATCTCCAATTAACCGGCGCTGAAATATGGATCGCGGCACAACCGTGGGCGTAATTGCAGACTTCTGAGAAAGAGAGGAAGCCAGACGCTAATGAAGCTAATGGCACTTTAGAGAGAAATTATCAGCTGACATGGATATTCCATTAGCGAGCTGATGAAGTTTAGATTACTTTATCATCGCTGGTCGTCTTAGTCACAATGCCAGTTGAACGCGTGTCTGAGTGTGGAAAATTAACGTCTGTCTCCATCTGTTGTCATTTTAAGGGGAATATAAGTAGGAAATGTTCCTATTGGCCAAAAGTGAGCTTGTCAACGAAGTTGATTATAATGGGCAGTATCTGGGATTAACTAACTCAAAGTAGCAAAGCTGTTAACTATTTTCAGTGGTGTGACTATAGTTAAGCTGTTTTTTAAAATTTCTTAAAATTGGATTTTGAAAAGCAGTGACAGGAGGGGAGGAGCTAAAACTAAGAGGGCTTGATGATGTCATCAGAAAGAAAACTCGTTTCAGGCGCTGCCTGTCAGCCTGACTGAATCCAGATGGAATGGTGACCGCAATAGTCTGGTTTGGGTTGGCCTGGCTCTTTCGCAACCCTCAGGCCGCCCTGAGACGTCAGGCCCGAGACCGCCCGACTGCAGGCCGGCCACAGATGAAAGACTTTCAACACCTTCGATGATGGTGCATTGGATTTGTCACAAGGGATTTTTAAGGAGAAGTCAAAGTGCAAATTTGGAGGAGAATGAATCTGACAGGCGGTGATTCTAGTGCTCAAGGCAAGATATAATATGACCCCAAAAAACTTCCTTTTGTATAGAAGCCTGTTTCTGTCTCAGAATGTAAAAAAAATAATAATAATAATAATAGGATAATTGCTACTTTATTACTCATTATTGTGTCTCATTACTGATACGAGAAATAAGGTCACATTTATGAGAATCAAAATTGCAATGTTACTTCTTATAATATCAATAATCTCTCTGTGACTTCATAATTTTTAATTACAACTTTCTGCAAATCATAATTACGACATGCCGTAATTGCGACGATTTCTCTTAACTGCTAATTTATATCTCAAAAAATTGTGACTTTATATATCACAATGTGACTTCATATTTCACAATTGCAACATTTTTCTCAGAACTTGCACTATTTCTCATAATTATGACTTTCTGTGACATGGCTTGTAATTGTTGTAAACATTTCTCAGAAATTGTGACTTTATATGTTAGTGTTACGTTATATTTCGCAATTGCAACTTTTTCTTAGAACTGCACCTATTTCTCACAATTATGACCCAAATATGACATTTCGCGTAATTGCGATTATTTCTCATAACTGTACGTTTTTATCTCAAAAACTGTGACTACTCCTCACAATATGACTTCATATTTCATAATTGCAACTTTTCTCTCAGAATTTGCAGAATTTCTCAGAATGTTTCAACATAACTTTCTGCAACATATCTTGTAATTGTGACTATTTCTCAAAATCACAAATTTATATTTCAAAAATTGTGACTTTATATCTCACAATGTGACTTCATATTTCACAACTGCAACTTTTTTTTAGAACTGCAACTATTTCTCATAATTATGACTTTTTGTATCTCATAAAACTCTTAAAATTGTGACTATTTCCATATTTATATCTCAAAAATGGTCTCACAATGTGGAGTTTTACTCAGAACTGGAACTATTTCTCATAATTACAACTTTTTGCAAATTAATTTGCGACATTACATTTTGATGAATTATTACAAAGTCTAACTTTTTTGTGCAATGAATCAAACACTGTACCAGGAAAGTAAATAGGCTCGATTAAGATATCATTTTGACTTTTCAAAATATTCCAACGTAAACAATTCTCTGATTTGCACAACCCTGCACAGATGTCCTTGTGTATTTTAGTATTTTAACAAAATATTCTGTGAAATACGTTATTCGGCCACTTAAGTTTCAAAGTTGCTTACGCGACACTACTAATATTTGTCCTGTAGTTTTATTGCACTGTTTGCTAGCAGCATCGACATGGTTTTAGCTACATAAGGCGTCTCAATACGCTCCCTAGTTAAAGTAGTCCACTGCTCAGGAAACCCTTTCTATGGCTGTCCCATTGTCAAAATCAAGTGCACTACAATATTCACTACCAAGAAATTCTCAAAATGCACAATAAAACCAGTCAGCTAGTGATAATGATAAACAAATTACTTCAGAAAGATATCGCTCATGGTGTTATTTAGCAGTATTCATGATAAATACCAGTTCCTGGTAATTGTGTTGCTGGTTATTAGTTTCTCAACATTTCACAGATTGAGTCCCTTGCTAGTGCTCAAAATCGTATTCACGGTTAACTGAATTATGTCCAGAATAATTCCTGAAAGTTCAGCCTTGAGATATGGATGATCAATTTACATGAAGCTCGTGCGATTATGTGTTGTATGAAATAATATCCATTCTCTTTGTCTCTGTTCCGTCTGTTTCTTCTGCTCTGGAAAATGACATGGAATGGAGTGTTCCTGGGAGCTGTAGCCACTAGCCAGTGGATGCATTGTTCATTTCTTTTGCAGGTCTGCTGCAGCTGTGCTGGAATCCTCCGTTGTGTCAACTCCTGCCAGGACTCTGGAGACCGCCGCTCTGATCTGCTCCTGTTCGGAGCCACTGAACCCCTAGATTTCACTTCCATGCTTCCAGCAAATGAGCTCTCTAGAGAGGGTCTTGACTAATTGCTCTTGCACTTTTTTTTTTACCCTCAACCTGACACACATTAGCACCAGGGCTGTGTTTAATATAGAATCGAATTGAAAATGCCATTTAAACTTAAATTAAAAGGAAGAATTTCAATTGGGATTTTGGAGTAATGAGATTTCAAAGCGGACGGGGCTCCTCAGAGTGGCACAGTGTTAGAATTTTTTTTAAAACTAAATGAAAACATGTAATAAAATAATTGCACAATTGGTGGCTGACTAAATACTTTTTTTCCCCACTGTATATCTCAAAAATGGTCTCACAATGTGGAGTTTTACTCAGAACTGGAACTATTTCTCATAATTACAACTTTTTGCAAATTAATTTGCGACAATTTCTTGTAACTGTCTCTCAGAAATTGTGACTATCGCCTAACAACTTCTCACAATCTCCCATGTCCCTTTGTTTCTCATATTGTGAATTTATGTCTTGTAATTGAGTTTTTAATTGACAATAACGTGTTGTAACTGAGTCTTGAGTTTTTATCTGACAATTACAACTTTGTCTAACAGACAGACGCATAATCTTTTGTTGTTGTTGTTGTTGTTGTGGAAGAATTTCAATTGGGATTTTGGAGTAATGAGATTTCAAAGCGGACGGGGCTCCTCAGAGTGGCACAGTGTTAGAATTTTTTTTAAAACTAAATGAAAACATGTAATAAAATAAAAATTTATTAAAATAAAAACTATGTAACTGGACAAAAATAAATAAATAATGGTACCAGTTCTTAACTTTGACAGGCCTTAAATACTATAACTACATACAATTCTTAATAAAAAAATTAATAAAATAAAAAATAAAAAAAATACTGACAACTAAACTAAATAGACAAATTAAAAAAAAAACG